GACAGACAGAAAGACAGAGAGAGAGAAAAAGAGACGATTTAAAGGATTCTTTTGTATTCTCTTTCTCTCTCTCTTTCTCTCTCTCTCTCTCTCTCTCTCTCTCTCTCTCTTTCTCTCTTTTTCTCTTTATTCACACAGAGACGTGTATTATCGTAAAAAACGTATAAAAACGATAAAATTTTTCTTAATAATCACGGCGAAATTGGCACAACAACGTGATTACGTCGTTCAAAATAAAACACCGTCATTCTTAATAGTAAATATTTCTAATAATAAATATATTTATATTGTACGTATGCGTATACATAGAGATTACGTATGTACATAAGTAACTTAATATATATATATATATATATGTATGTATGTATGTATGTATATGATCACGTGTCGACTTAAGAAAATAAATCTCTTATTATTCGACGGATTTGTTGTTTCCTATGCGAGCTTATTACTCGAATAAAAATTTTTTTTATTTTCTTTATTATTATTTCGAAAGCAAAGAAAAAAAAAAGAGAAAACGAAAGAGAGAGAGAGAGAGAGAGAGAGAGAGAGAGAGAGAGAAATGTAAACTTTCTATGAATTTGTAAAGAAAGATGTATGATCATACATATTTGCAAACACGTTTATCGTAAAAATTATTATTAAGATCGTCGTACGAATAGAATAAAATTTTTCTATTTATATACTTACATATATACATATGTATGTATATATGTATGTTACATGCTAATGTATCTCTATGTACATCGATTTGCCGATTTTATCGCGATAAACTGGCTTTGCTAACGATCGAGTAGGTGTAATAAGCACGATCAGAGATCACCGTACCCACTCGACGATGATCCTATCTCATCCAAAGAGAGTGCACGTATATACATATAATGTGCATGTATATAATGTATGTATGTATGTATGTATGCATGCATGCATGTATGTATCTACGTATATATGTAAATATCGATCTTTTCTCTCGAATATCGAACGATAAACCTTCTACAGGTCAAATGTAAGTAGGCATCTGCATACATATATACATAAATACATACATACATATATGTAGTATAAACTGAGACTAATGGTTTGCCACGAAACAACCGATGTTTCAATTTTAATATCTCATCTTCGAAAATTGAAATCATTTTATATATTTATACGTATGTATACGTATATCGTGCACATAATTACGTTAAAGATCTAAACGTATTTCATATAATTACAATATCTTCAATTTATTCTTAACCAATAATTATTATAAATATTAATTTAATGTATGTAGATAATAAAAACGTAATTGGAACTTTCGTAAGAGAAAACGATCATTCTATAGCGTTTTATTATCTCTTTTTTCAACGTTAGTTATAGGGTTCTTTAGCGACGTTTATACAAATAGTAAAATATTATAACAATGTTAATCCCTCCTCCTCCTCCTCCTCCTCTAAATATGAAAACAAATTTGTTCCAAAAGATATATATTTTCTTTACAAATGCATATATGTGTGTATATATGCAGTCATAATCGCGTTATTATTAATCGTATTTAATTAATCTTCTATTGAAACATACATATACATACACACACATTCCCTCTCTCTCTCTCTCTTTCTTTCTCTCTTCGAAAAAAAAAAAAAAAAAAAAAAAAAAAAGTTGTATCGAGTAAAGGACCGGTATAGTCGTCATTATGTCGAATCTCATTGGAAACATGAGAAATCTCTTTCTATTCTTTGTTACAAAGGGATAAAAGAGGATGGAGGGTTGTTGTATCATATGTTTCCAACCACTATATGCCTTTCTAGGCTTGTGTGTAAGTGTGGATAGCCCTGTGTAAACTGATACCTTGTATAAGAAGGATCAGTTACCTTAAACGGAACGGACATACGTCACCGTACGCGTCCGGTTGTATATAGAGAACACGGTAGTGAATAGAGAAAGAGAATGTATATAAAAGAGAGAGAGAGATAGAGAGAGAGAGAGAGAAAGAGAGAGAGAGATGCTACTAGCTATCACTATCCGTGACATAGAATTGCGTTTTGGTACATACATACATACATACACACATATATACATACATATATACGTACATACACCCACGTCCAAGGATGCAATACGCTCCTAAATATAGAACATTCGCGCTTGGCCCGTGCAAATGTTACCATTCGCTAGGATATGAGAGCCAGCTAGCTACTTACAAGGGATATATGCTTTAAAGTCAGCCATAGTAAGCCGCATCCGGTGGTCTCGAAATTCGATATAAATTAATTTCCCAATGAAATTTCCACGCCAATATATAAATAGAGAGAGAGAGAGAGAGAGAGAGAGAGAGAAAGAAAGAGTAGGAAGATCAATTGAGCCTCTATTTCTTTCTCTTTCCTTCTCTATAGATTCTCCATTTAATAATGAATATTTTGATCGTAATTCGAAACAATCAATATATCTAATTAATATCTTTCTTTTTATATACATATAAAAAGAATTTTATATATATATATATATATATATATATATATATATATATATGTATGTATGTACCATCCCTTTATAGAGTAGTCACATTCCTATGTATTTCATATTAAAAATTATTTTATTCGTTTTTTTTTTTTTTTTTTTTTTTTTTACGTTAATCATTACGTATATCGTTTAATTGCATTAACGATTTAAACGTAAAATATCATTTTGAAATAAATTCGATCGTAAATTTGATCGTTAGTGATAATCATTTTTATTGTTACTTTCCTTCAAATATTTGTTCCCTTCTGATTTCTTTTTCTTTTTCTTCTTTTTTTTTTTTTTTTCTTTCGAATCCCTTAGAATCGCAAGAATCGTAGGATAGTTTTCATTCGTAAGTGTGGACGGATAAAGGATAAGGAAAATAAATTTCCGTAGTTCTCTACTATTCTTGCATTTACATCTTACGTTCCATCTTTTTCTATCGATCCTCGAAGGGAAAGCACGCAAAGTTTCCCTATGGCGTAACGGATCATGTATATGTATTCGTATATGTATACGTACGTATGTACGTACATATATATATATATATATATATATATATACACACATGTATGCGTTCATGTAAAGTAGTCAAGAGTATACTCACACTTGTGGACTTGTTTCAAAGTTTCAAAGTTATATTTTTCTCTACGTTCTCATTTTCATAAGAAAGTAAGTTTCAAATAACGATTCCCAGCTTTCAGTGATCCTCACGGTTCTTTCGCATCCATACGGTTTACTTGCATATATTTTTTTCAAGACGCTTCGAAAGATCGATCGATCAATCGAAATAATAATAATAATAATAATAATAATAATAAAAAGACAAAGAAGAGTGAAAATTTGTCGATCGTCGTTAATTTCTCTAAACCGTGTATCTCCCCCCCCCGTCCACCCTCACTCTTATCCCTTCCCCCCCCCCCCCGCCCCTTTTATCTATACAACAACAATTTTCTATGTGTCGAGCGATTATATATCAATTTTGTGCAGTACGTTCGAATAGAGAGGATAGTTTATGTGATAGAAATGAAAATGTCTGCCAGGTAGAGAACGCAAGCTCGTTAGGACGGACGCGTAACGAGCGTATCTCCATCGAGCTGACATCCTTGATAGAATTCCGGGCATTAATTTCCTGAACGCGCATCACTTTGTATATGTACCTTCTATGGATATGTCTCTATGTGTGTCCCATGTGTGTCGTGTTTGTATATGCGTATGCGCGTGAGCGCACGTGTGCATGTACAACATCGTTAAGATAGAAGTTTACTTCGAGTTTCTAGGAAATAATAATCGATGGACATAGATTGTATACATTCAATGAAAGTTTGTTTGTTAACGAATTTCTTCTTACTAACATTTAATAATAACTTTGTTTTCTCATGACCTTATCCTCGTTTTATTCGTGACGAAATGGAAAATAATTATGTCCGTGTTAAGGATTAAAATGATTATTAAAATGATTTGTTAAATAAAAAAAAAATATATGTATATATATATATATGTATATATATGTATATGTATATATTATGTAGCAAAAAAAGAAAACGAAAAGCGCAGGATTTGTTTTTTTTTTTGTTTTTTTGCGGCGGATGGATTGATAAAAAATAAGACCGTAGGGACTAAGTTTACTCTTTTTCTTTCTTCTTTTTTCTTTTTTTTTTTTCTTTTCTTTTTTAAGATCTACATCGTAAAGAGAGAGAAAGAGAGAGAGAGAGAAAAGGATCGTAGCAAAGAACATTTATCGTTTGGCTCAGCACCCTTCGAAAGTGCCCAACCGCCCTCGATCACATAGGGTTCGACTTTGATTTCGACTCTCTTTCCTTTCTATCGTTTTCTTTCAGTCCGCCCACCTTATCCTCATCCCCTTTTCTCTCCTCCCTCCCTCTCTTCCTCAATCCCCTCCACGGAAAGATCATTTTTCTCTCTATCTCCCCTTGAAAAGCTCGATCCTTTAAACCACGATTCGGGTTAAAGCGTTAAACCCGTTCTAGTTTTCCGTCAGATTTCGAAATAATTAACTGTCAGTCGAACGACAAAGAAAAACTCCGTGAAATTCGCGGACAAAGAAGAAAAAAGGGATGGGGGCGGGTTTGGGGAAGGGGAAGGAAAAGAAGGAAGAAAGAGAGAAAATTAAAAAACAAATAGTCAAAGTTGAAAAAAAGAGAACGTGTGAGAGAGAGAGAAAAAGAGAGAGAGAGAGAGAGAGAGAGGGAGACAGAGAGGAGTTTTCATAATTTGTGAAATAATTTATATATTTTACATATATACCTATATATCTAGGTTTTATATATATATATATATATATATATATATATATATATAAAACATTTGGAATAATTGAAACGTAGTTCGTCGGGAAATAAAATAAATGATTTTATACGATCATAAATGTAACTATATATGTATTTATGTATACATATATATATAATAAATATATATACATATATTATATACATAAACCTGTTGTTAATATTAATTTTATTAATATCCTTTTATATTAATTTTTGTCATTTCAGTTACCAGTGGGCGGGGGTGGTGCTGTGCTGGTGCTCAGCGAGCTTGAAAGCATGGCGGCCAGGCAACAGCGGGAAATCGCTCAGCAGAGGCGCCTCCTAGAGCAAAAGGAGGCCCGTCTAGCCGTGCTTCGAGGCGCACAGGTAAGCAACCGTAAGTTAAACGAAGAGAAAGAAAGTCGAGAGAGAGAGAGAGAGAGAGAGAAATGACAGATTTTGCAATGTAAGGTGAGAGAAACGAGGATAGCTAGATGAAAGAGAGATCGGTGTTTTCTTCTCGTCAACAGTTCTCATCCTTCTCTTGACCTTCTTCTTCTTCTTCGTCTTCTTCCTCTTCATCTTCTTCTTCTTCCTTTTCTTCTTCTTTTTCTTCTTCTTCTTCTTCCTCTTGTCAGGAAATCGTCTTGGAAATTTGTCGAATAGAAGTACGCTGCGCTTCGATATTCTCGAAGATCGGCGCGTCGTAGCGTCTCCTTTCGTGTCCTTCCGTTTGTCAACGAGTTCGTTTCCGATAACGAGATGTGCCAATCGGTCACGAGTTACCCTCCTCATCCCCTTTTCCAGACAACCCTTCTCTCCTTCTATCTTCTTCTATCTCTCAATTTTTCATTTTATTTCTCTATCTTTACCTATTCCTCCAAGAGAGAAAAAGAGAATGAGAGAGAGAGAGAGAGAGAGAGAGAGAGCATTGCTATCTTTTCTTCCCTCTCTCTCTCTCTCTCTCTTCTGTTTTTTTCTTTCTTCCATTTTCTTTTTTCCTTTTCATTTCATTCCGTTTCATTTCATTTCGTTTCATTTCTTTTCGTTTCGTTTCATTTCTTCGACGTCTACCAGAGTCTGCCGGAAGACCGGATTCGAAACGCATTTAACGTTTAATCCATCATATTACGGACAAATGACACAAGAATAGAATCGAACGCGAAGGTAAAAAAAAAAAAAAAAAAAAAAAAAGAAAAAAAACAGAGAGGACAAGAGATGAGAAAAACGAGAGAAGGACAACAGCAATGAGCTGCCCTCGTCCCTTCGTCCCTTGTTACTCATCGTCGTGTCGACGTTATCGTCGTCGTCAATGTCGTCGTCGTCGTCGTCGTCCTCATCATTGTCATTGTCATCGTATCCGTTGAAACTGCCAACTCTGATCGAATTTTCTGCGGGTAAATTGAAATTCGTGGTCGTTCGAATCGATCGGTTTAGGTAGAGATAGGTAGATATGTATCTATTATACCTAGATAGGTAGAACACAGATAGGTAGGTAGATAGGTATATATATGTATATATATATATGTATATTTCGAGCGTGACGCGTCAATTTTTCGCAATAACCGTGTTTTCATGGTATAAGTCCTTTATTCCCAAACGTAAAAAAAAAATCGATGACTACTATTCTTTGTCTCCTCGATGATCGAAGAGTGGGGGGGTGGTGGGGATGGAAAGATGAGATTGAAGATGGAATTGGGGATAGGATAGGGTGGGATGGGAAAGTGGGTGGCAGTGGGAGTGGGGAAAAAAAGAAGATGAGAAAAATGATGAAGGGGGTTCCGAGGGTTCTTCGAATTTCGAGTTGTGTTCGCGAGCTGACAAAAGAATTTTCAAGTTATCGAGAGAGAGAGAGAGAGAGAGAGAGAGAGAGAGAGAGAGAGAGAGAAAGAGAGAGAGAGAGAGAGAAGTCGATTGGTTACTATCAAGAGACGAGAGAAAGTGAGAGAGAGAGAGAGAGAGAGAGGGAGAGAGGGATAGATAATACTTTAGATGCATGCGTGCATATAATGAGAGGTATCATGTATCCATCCTGGCAATGGAGAAGGAAAAGGCAAGCTCTTACGAGATTCTCCTCGTCCTTCTCGGTAGCTACTTAACCCTCATGACGAGTAATAGTGGTGGTAATAATAGTACTAGTAATAGTACTAGTATAGTAATAGTAATAGTAGTAGTAGTAGTAGTAGTGGCTCGTGTGAAGCGCGAATAACGGACCAAGTGTCTCCTCACGTTCGATATTAACCCGATTAACCGACAGCAATAGAGTCTATGACGTGTAATCGGATCTATGTCGTATGCTTTCTCACTCTCTCTCTCTCTCTCTCTCTATCCCTCTACCTCCCTCCTTCCTCTCCACCTTCCTTTTTGTCCTTCCTGGCACTTCTTACGTATTACGGGTTCCTTCAAGTATGTATCAGCTCTGTCTCTCTCTTTGTCTATCTCTCTGTCTCTCTGTCTCTCTGTCTTCTTTTCGGAAAATTATTATTTTTTTTTTTTCCTATTAATATCATTTGTCTATTTCATAAAACGTTTCATCTATATTCATGATAGGACGTTATAATATATATATATATATAGGTATATGATGATAGCGTGATAGGAAGTTAAATCGAGGAAAGCACGCAATGGTTCGTTCTTTCACATATATACACATACACACACATACACACATAGAGACAGACACATACTTGTGCGCACACAAGACGTAGACACATACTTGCGCGGACGAGGAATGCGGAGGAATTTTCAAAATGGAAAGCGATCTCGCATAGTTACCTACATATCACTTGGAACATATTGATCTTCCTATATGGCTATGGTACCACGCGAGATCCTTCATTTCTACGGCGAATTCTATACTGAAAAGGTCACACGTTCTAGTCGTCTCTCTCTCTCTCTCTCTCTCTCTCTCTCTCTCTCTTTTACTCTCACTCTATCTCTAGACATATACCCTCTAATATATCGAGAACACGATGGTCCTAATCCGCCGTACAGAATCCCCTTTCCTATCTCAGAATCGAATTGGACTCTCGATAACCGAAGACATCGGGTTTTATCCATCATTTCGCGGTTTTATTTCTTTTCTTACGGGTGCAAGGAAAAAAGGAAAGATAGGATAAAGGAAAGGAAAGAAAAAGAAAAAAACAAAAAGAAAAGGGAAAGAAAGAAAAAAAGAAAGAGAAAAAAATGATAGAAAGATACAGTAACGTTAGTAAGTACGAAGTATTAAATATGTATGTATGTATGTATGTATGTATGTATGCATGTATATATACGTACGATCTGTCCCTAAAGTCATAGAACGACATCTATTCTAACGATCAATAGAAATTAGTGGACGAATAGAAAATGATGTCGATCCGATTTGTGATTCGTGTTAGCTTAAAAGCTCCTTAGGCTTTTCAACTTTTCATACTCATTTTTTCCCATATACCACGATATTTGATATTCGATTTTCGACCTTCGATATTCGATTTTCTCAGATTGCAAAAGCTCGTAAGTTTTTTCCTTTTTTTTTTTTTTGTTTTTTTTTTCTATTTTTTATTTTACTTTCAAATAATCTTATCGTCGATCGAACGATCCATTCGTATTCTTTAGAATATATTTATCCTACTAACGTCACGGTTTTTTATTTTTTTGTTTTTTTGTTTTTTTGTTTTTTTTTTTTTTTTTCATTTTATTTCTTCATATGTTTTTATCCGACGACAAATTTTTTCCAATACTTCGATACGGACGAGCATCGCTTATTGTTAAGGACAAAAGTTGAATTTATATAATTCTCTTTCTTTATCGTTAAAAATCGTCGAGATAAGAGTATATAAATGTACGAAAGTTGAAAGAGATTGAAGAAACTGGTGATAGGATTAAATAAGTTAGATGGGAAAGGAAGTTTTCCGAAGTAACGCGAAGCTTTTAAAATTATTCGCAAAAGAATGTTTAACGCTTAAATTAAATGTACACCCTCTCTCTGTCTCTCTCTCTCTCTTTCTTTCTCGTTATTTTTCCCCATTTCTTAGTCTCTTCCTTGTTCTTTTTTCCCTTATCCGTGAGGTTTTTTCGACCTAGATTTTATGAAAGATAAGATCTTGTTCTCTTCTTCCAATGAAGAGACAAACAACAAAAAAAAAAAAAGAAAAGAAAAGAAATAAGAAAGAAAATATTAAAAGAAACAGACAAACAATTCTTCCTTCTCTAACGTGAATTTATTTTCCTATACATCTCTCTCTCTATCTCTCTATCTCCTTTTCTTTCTTCCTTTGTTTTAAACCGAGTTTATCAAGAACGTCTTTCTATACGTGACCGTAAATAAAACCGAGAAAAGAAGGGAATCCTCCGTAGATCGTCGTAATTCGATCACACCTCGAGAATAAATACATTTCTTCTTGTAAAAAAATTTCTCGAGGAGAATCGTACTTCAGTGACCGTGGTGCATGGTGGTCTCTCCTTTTGGTGTTACAGGAGCCAGCACAGCAGGACAAACTCGCTAGATTGAGACACAGACTGGACCAGCAACAGAGCAAACTGAATCGTCTGCGGTTACTCAGATCTCAGACCGACCAGTCGCGAGCCAACAACGCAACGCTGA